TTGTGACGCTGGCACAGATGACGTCCCCATACCCAAGGATAGGAGATGAAGCATCATTTCCGAATCTGACATTGCCTCCGTAGCAGTTGGTGTAGTTGCTCAAAAGGTGCTTTATTCCGGTCATGTGGGTTGAGCATCCTGAGTCTAAGTGCCACACATGCCCGTCCTGCAAAACAATCAAATAGGTTTAGGTACCCAACTTGGAGTGGGTCCTTCCTTATTATCAAGAAACACCTTTTTAAATCTTGCTTTGAGCAGTGATCCAAGGTCAGCTGCTCTTTCAACAAAAGATCTATCTTTGATGGGCTTTCCAATAGCCAGATCTGCTTTTGCAGTGGGTCTGGTTTTTGGAGTCCACCTAGCAATTTCCATTTTGGTGGGTCTGATGTTGTGAACCCACCTTTCTATTTTAGTTCTGGTGGGTCTAAAGTTGGGGACCCACCTTTCAGTTGCACTTATGATGGGTCTTCGATTGGGAACCCACCTTTCCGTTTCAGGTTGGATGGGTCTTCGATTGGGAAGCCATCTTTCAGTTTCAGTTCTGGTGGGTCTACGATTGGGAACCCACCTTTCAGTTTTAGTTTGGATGGGTCTTCGTTTGGGGACCCACCTATTCGTTTCAATTTGGATGGGTCTTCGATTGGGGATCCACCTATTTGATTCAGGTTTGGTAGGTCTCATCTTGGGGACTCACCTTTCCGTTTCAGTTTTGATGGGTCTTTTCTTGGGGACCCATCTTTTTGTTTTAGGTTCAGGAGGAGAGTAGACAGGTGCTTTGTGATTGAACGGTTGTTTCTTGAGTTTGGTTTTGAAAATCTCCTCCTTAGAAAGCCGATTAACATGTTTCCTAGAATGAACTCTAAGGGCATATTTCATATCTGGAATACAAAACGTTCCCTTAGAAGTTCCTTTCTTGGTTTCTTTTTCAGGTTTAAGCTTTCTGGAAGGATTAGATTTAACAACATTCATATCACATTCATAATTATGGGGATCTGGAACAGAATAACCATAAGCAACACTTGTATTAAAAATAGAACTTTGTCTAGAAGATGTCTCAGAAATATTCAGCTTGGGACTCAAGACTGAACTACTAGAAGTTTGCTTTGTAGAGACAGAATTACAATTAACTTTTGAGTAAAAAATTGAACTAGATCTAGGGCTGGCACTTTTCTCAAAAACTTTCTTTTTGCCATCTGCGATTTCCTTCCTCTTTTTCCTCCACTCATTCTTCTCTTCTCCTTCCTTATTCACTTCCTTCCCTGTAAACAAAGGAGAAGAGAGATGAGTGGACGAACCTTTAAAAGCATTGTTTTTCTCATGTGAGGTGTGTGAGCTGTCAGGCTTGGTCGTAGAAGGGTCTGTTTTAGCATGAAACTGCTCACTCAAATCAATAATTTTTTGAAGAAGTTCCTGCCAGTTGCGCTCAAAACCTTTCTTTTCAGTTTCAAATCTCTCTCTCTCGTTATCAAGAGTTTTTTGTAGGTTTTTGAGCTTTTGAGCCATGGGAAAAATACATGGTTCCTCACCAGTTTTAGCAATACCAACTCTTGGGGGAGGGTCTAAAGGGTGTCCTATGTGAGGAATATCTTTGGCATAAGGGTCAAGGCATTCACTAAAGCAGGAAGTGGGTTTTTCTTCTGAAAGTTGTTTTTCATTTACACAGGGATAATCACAAGAAATCGCAGGTTTTGGTTTCTTTCTCTTTTCTTCTTCTGCTTCAGCATAATCTTCATCACTTCGAAAATACATTTTCTCGCCAAACCCTAGTCCCATGTAATCTTTGTTATAGATTTGAAGGCAATTAACTTTCTTAAGATTACGTGGGTTGGTTATGCCCAGTCCTGTTTTAGCATTGTAGAATCGGTCATCCTTTTGTTTGTTGTTAAGCAGAAAAACAGTTTGTTCAGATTGACCTCTTCTAGCAGCTAGATCTTCTAGTTCTTTTACTTTATTTAAAAGCGTTCTTCTTTTGTTATGCAAAAAATCGCATTCAGCCTTTGCTGTGCTTTTTTCCCGTTCACTGTCCTCAAATTTCTTAGTTAATTCAGCTATCTTAAGTTCAAAGCTTTCAAAATCTGAGGACACCTTTTCGACTTGATCTTTTGCAATTTCAAGTTGAATACTTAAGGAAGACTTTTGGTCTAGATTCTGTTTCAGAACTCTATGATTATTGTCTAGTCTCTCCTTCAGTTCTTTGATTAGATTGTCCTTTTCAAGTAAGGACTGCATTTGATTATTTAAAGAAGTATGGGAGGTACTTACAGAGCTTGTTGAGCACTTGCTTTCGGGGATCGCAGCATCACCCTTTATTTCATCTCCCTCCACACTTGCCATAAGAGCATAGTTGTCTTCCTCTTCCTCCTCCTCAGAAGAATCTTCTGCCCAATTCTCATTTTCAGCAATCATGGCAGAGGTTTCTTCTTCTTTCTGCACCATCAGCATTTTCTGCTTATTCCACAGCATCTTCTGCTTGTAGAAGTTAGCATCTTTCTTCTTTGGGAGGCGGCCGTCTTTGATCACATGTCCAGGCTTGCCGCAATTATAACATTTAGGAGCTTCTTCTGCTGATGATGCCTTCCTAGAAGATCCTTGATCGTGGTTCTTTTGCTTGTAGTTTGAGGAGGAAGTTCTCAGCCTGTTGGAGGAGGTGTTCTTCTTAGCAAATCTTTTGGCCAGCAGTGCCATCTTCTTGTGTAAGTCTGCTAGCTCAGTCTCTAGGTCAGATTTGTCATCGTCACTCTCATCATCATCTGATTCAACCACCACCTTCTTCTTTTTCTTCTTTAGTGAAGTGGTTGTCCTTCTTGGCTGAGCATCCATTACAAGAGCTAAGGGGTTTGTGGTGTGATGATCCTCAGCACAGGCAACCTCGTTGACGAATTGCTTCAGATGTTCATAGAGTGTGCAGAGGTCAATTTCGTCCAAATCTATTCGAGATCTGACATCCTTCACTGTCTTTTCCCATGCAGGGTGCAAGCTGGATAAAAATCTAATATTCAGTTCCAGATTAGACCTGAATACTTTGATCTTTCTTAGTTCATTTACCAATTGAACAAGTCTGTTGTAAGTCTCATTCAATGGTTCTCCTGGACCTGCTTTGAAGGAGTCATAAGCGATGAGAATCGTAGTCTTCTTTGTTTTGAGGCTGATGCTTGTGCCTTGTAGCAGCTTCTCTATTTCATCCCACATTTCCTTAGCTGTCTGCATGCTATCTATGAGAACATAAACCTCATTTGGTATTGCTTGAAGGAGGTACGTTTTGGCCATGAGATCACCACGAAGTCTGAGCTTGTCAGCTTCTGTGTATTCAGACGGCACTTTTCTCCTTATTTCTGGAAAAATAGGAGGATTGTTCTCTGGATCTCCACCAACTGAAATCAAGAGTTCAGTTGGTCCTTCAAGCAAAGATTCGAGCATTGCAGAAGAGTTCTCTTTGTGCTCGAGGAAGTTTAGAAATCTGTTCCTCCACATTTGATATTCTCCCTTCCTGAGGCTAGGAGGGGTACTGCTGTTCCCTTGTGCATTGTATTCTGAACCCATTGCTGTACTAAACTGACCGTTCGAGAAAATTGATCAAAAGATTTTCAGAGGCAGAATCTCGAAAAATTAGATGTCGAGATCTGAATATCGAAATCTCAGATTTCGATAAAGGAGGCCCGGTATCGAGATTTGGGCTCGAGATTAAGGATCTTGAGATTAGGGATCTCGAGATTTCAAATTTCGAGATGCTGATCTCGAGATTTGAAATGTCGAGAAGTTAATCTCTCGAAATCTTAATCTGATGAGTCAAATGTCGAGACCAGATGTCGAGTCCTTTTTTCGAAATCAAGATTTCGAAATCCTAGATGTCGAAATCCTAAATGTCGAAATCCTGCAACCTGTAAAAATCAGATAAACAAAATCTGAAGATAGTTTCCTGTAGAGTTGAATGTCGAGATCTTCTGGTAAAGTTTTCAGCTCGAAAAACGTAGCAGAACCTGTGAAGAAGTAGGATGTCGAGATGCCTAGCTCGAGATATCTCGAAATCCAAAATTGCGTAAAACACAAACTGAAGTATACCCTTTGATCACTTTGAAAAGGCGATTCCAAAGGTGTAACTTTTACAACTTTTGAACAAGAAACAAAATTACAGAGCAAAAAATCGACAGAATGAACTACGTTAACAAAAACAGAGTATTCTGCAGGAGTTCTTCTGATCGTTCTCGATCGGCTCTGATACCAATTGTTAGTCCCTGTTTCTGTAACAGCAATGAATAATCGATCTAACAAGGAAGATTAAACGTAAAGATGAACACAGAATGAATCACCGTAAAACCTTCTTTGATAAACCGTGGAACGTACAGCAGAATGATATAAGCGTAAGGCTATGAATAATAAGTACGACGTTCAACCTTTTCCTAAACCTCGGCTCCCTTTTTATAGGCGAGGTTTAGGTTAGGCGTATCAGGCTTTTGGCCTAACACTTGGCCTGATTTCTATCTAATTTATGCACTATTTAAATACAAGGATTAAATATAAAGCTAATCTATGACCAACTTGATTCACAATTAAATATCTCCAACACTTTATATAAAAAGTTATTTTAGCACCATTGTCAAGTATTATTTTCTTTCAAAACTGTAAATTTATGGTGTTAATCGCATAAATTAAAATATTTTACTATTCATTAAGACACAATTAACATTTTAAACTTCCATTGCGAAATAAATAATGTTACCCCAATCTATATAATTGCAACACTTTTAATTTGCTATTTTAAATAATGAAAATAACCCCATAAATTTATATTTTTTGAAATAAATAATGCATGACAATGGTGTGAAAATATCTTTATATATAGTTTGTGGTATTTAAATTACATATACAAGTTTGAGTGTTGACGCTCCTTCAAAGTTTGGGGTATTTTTATTATTTTCCTTTTAACTCTTCCAAACAAGGCAATTTTGACCCCTTTTTCAACTCGGATCATTTGACCCCTTTTCCCGTCTTCCCATTTGCAAAACTATCGTTTCCTCTCACCCCCTCTGCATCGTCTCCCTCCAAGCCTGCTATGGCTAATCTCGCAGACATACCTCTGTCTCTCCCGCCAAAACACTCACTTCTCCCTTTCAGTACCAACAACGGACTGAACAGGCCGTCAAAACTCTGTCTCCGGTGCTCAATCGCTGATCAATCGAACGCTACAATTTCCCCCACCGGAAACTCCCAGCTGTCGGTTGATTGTGTGATTGTGGGAGGCGGAATTAGCGGTCTATGCATCGCTCAAGCTCTCTCCGTCAAGCACCGTCACATCGCTCCCAATGTGATAGTCACCGAGGCTAGAGATCGCGTTGGCGGCAACATCACAACTATCGAAAGAGACGGTTATCTCTGGGAAGAAGGTCCAAATAGTTTCCAGCCCTCCGATCCTATGTTGACCTTGGTGGTGCGTAATCACCATTATATAGACTGAGAGTCTAATTTCAGCTGGGTTGGAATTAAAATTGTTGTTATTACTACTATGTAGGTCGATAGTGGGCTGAAGGATGATTTAGTTTTGGGGGATCCTAATGCGCCGCGTTTTGTGCTTTGGGATGAGAAATTGAGGCCAGTCCCGTCAAAGCTCATAGACTTTCCTTTTTTTGACTTGATGAGCATCCGTGGGAAATTTAGAGCTGCATTTGGTGCTCTCGGATTTAGACCTTCACCACCAGTTCGTTTTCTAAACTTTTTATTGCCTTCTTCATAAAATGTATGTTCTCAGAAATTGTGCCCTTCTCATCATCATAAGATTTGGTTAAGGTGACAGGGATATGAGGAGTCAGTTGAAGATTTTGTCCGTCGCAATTTTGGTGATGAAGTTTTTGAACGCCTGATTGAGCCTTTTTGTTCAGGTATTAATTATGTCATTCTCTTGGCATATATTACTCCCTAGTTGTTACCTTATTTTAGTAATTTTCTATTCATGATGTTGCAGAGGAATGCGTATCAATACTAAATTAGGCTTGATAGTTGTAAACATTTTAGGTTCATGGTGGGATCTAAATCCAGAGTCTGTATTGTTCAATTGATATCTCTCCTGGTCGTGAAGTTCTAGCAATGGGTGAAAACCATTGGATATTGTTTCTGCTGAATTTCTCATGATAATGATTTCCCTATTACTATGATACTATCTCATATGCAAAACAAGGAATATACGTAAACATCTACGCTGAATGAAATTCAGTGGTGTTAGAGAGGTTTTTAAACATCAATTTTTACTGTCATATGTAAACAATGATCCTCGTGGCATACTACTTTAGTCGTGAGGCGTAAGCCTCGAGTGGATTGAGGTGTTTGGCTCACTGTGCAAATAGAAAAATAGAAAATGCTTATAAAACTCGTGTATTTACTCAAGTGAGTGAATTATAAATAAAGAAGTCCTAAACAATATAATTGAGTTATTAGTGCATAATAACAAACATGGTGTAGTGAGGCTTTTGTTGAAAGGGTTTAAGCCTCATGTTTTTACTTCTTAATATTTAGTTTTTTCTTAGCATGATTATTTTGAAGTGAATATCACGGTGGATCTACTGTTTTCCAATAATTAGTCACTAAGGCCATCGGTAGCCCTAAGATCTATTTGCCAAAGTCCTCATCTATCATGAAAATCTATACTTACGAAGTTCAAATAACCTACAAGACTTTGAGCTCGTGTAGAAGTGCAGACACTTCATGCAAATGCGCTAATGCACTGAGCCACTATCACTAACTTCTTCTCGTCTCCTTGCCAATGAGGTTCAAACGGTTCAACCATCTCTACCTTCCATTTCTTCCTTTTTATATTGAAAAATAAAATAAAAAATAACATAACTTTGTTTTTTTTACTTAAATGGCTCTATAATATCAAAATTTCGAGGCTCCAGTTGTTTCTTCAGTAGCTGATGCAAGGATCTCGCCCAGGATAATAGAACTCTTTGTCTACTTTCACAAAGCTTCGGACTTACAACAAACCTTGGTTAAGATCTGGGGATCTCTCGGTAGTTGATGCAAGGATCTCGCCTGGGATAATTTAGCCTGTTGCGTACCGGCGCGAAGCTTCGGTTTTACAGCAGACCTTGATTAAGATCCGGGGATTTAGGGTTGAGATTTGGTCATTCGGGGATCGCCCGTGTGCACAAGGATAGGGCCTCGCCCGGATAAAAGCTTGCTGTTGATCGATGCTAAGCTGCGAACGACAAGTAGTTAGAAATTCGGGTCCTTCTGTTCTGTTTGTCACCTGTTTATCCGCCTTTCCATTTTTTTACGGAAGTGAAGCGGGACTTGATGCAGTTGCTCACAATTTCATTTGAGATATTCTACAAAGATAATAGGCCGTGCCGTACACTTCCCCCGTTGAGATATAGATATGATAGGGTTGCATTGGTAGAAAAAATAACTGGCCGTGTGTCTGTCTTCGGAGTCATCCTTAATTATCGTTGACTGTTAAACTATGATGTGAACCAAGATTCCAAATTATAACCCCTACGTGTCCAGGAGCTTCCTCATCTTCAGTTCAAGATATTTGCTTCCCACACGACTCCTTGATCCAGGTGAAGGGCAGGCCGTTTCTCGTCCTCACCTGACAGGTCGGCCAGTCGGAGTTGCTGGCCAATCTCCGGGCCAGGAGGAACAACACGGACCAAGACACATCTCTTGGTTTGGGTTTGAGAGATCAAGCAGCGCCATACGCCAGGCGGCTAGGTGTGCCAGCAACCGGACCTTGGGAGGTCAAGCGAAAATGATTTTTGCAGGGCGGCAGGCTGTCTTGAGCTAGCGGCGATCTGCGAGGTTGGGAAGTCAATCCAACCCAGCTCGTGAAAATCAACCTTGTTGCACGTATCGTGTGTTGGCCGTCCATAGGGATCCTCGTTGGTTGTCCAGGGCCCAGCCAGGTGTGGTGATCTGATGACCTTCCTCCGGAAGTTTCCCGTTCAATAAGGGACCCGTAAAAAAGTGCCATGCTGAAGACTGATGTGGGCCGCACCTCTGACTTGCAGATTTGGGCAATTTGAAATGCAATAACTGGACAGGGCGATTATAGGGACGAGCTTCCTGCGACCCACGATGTACAAATTCTTGTTAAAGTTGGTTTTCACATTCGAGGGTGGCCGGGCGCAATTCGGTCGCGCGGCCATATTTCAGCTGAACCGGGAAAGAATCCGTTTGGGAAGTGATTTTCGTCCGGGCCCATTCATTCCATTTCCCTAGGTCATTCCCAGCTACTCTTTGGTGGCGGCCTGTTTCCATTACTTCCACCATTCAGCAAGACTCCCCAGGCTAACGATCCTTGCACGTTCTTGACCAGACTCCTCCCCTCGGGATGCTCTGGGTCGCCATTTAGTGACCATCGGATCGCCATTTGGAAGGGTCAACCTTGGATTTGTAGTCGTTTGGGGAGTTTTTCCCCAAAGTGGGGTAGTTTTAAATCTTATTTCCCAATTTAGGGTACTTTTAAACTTACTTCCCAAATGAGGGCGTTTGGCCTTATCATTTGCCATGCCAGCGTAGTGGCACATCTCTTTCCACCTCATTCACCAGCCATTCCACATCATTTAATTTAAGTCTACTAAAATTGTAAAAAATTCGTTCCTGAAGGGAGTTGATTCCGTGACAAGGGAGTTGAACCGTAGACTTTAATTAAATGCTGTGGAATGGCTGGTGAATGACGTGGAATGTGATGTGCCACTACGCTGACATGTCAAATGACAAGGCAAGAAACACCCTCATTTGGGAAATAAGTTTAAAAGTACTCTAGATTGGGGAATAAGATTTAAAACTACCCCACTTTGGGGAAAAACTCGTCATTTGGGATAGCAGCATCAGTAGACCCAGTTAGAAAAAATGGCGTACAGTTCACCGGTCAAATGGGCCCCACTCATCAAGAGATCCAGCTGTGGAATTGACGTGTTGTGACTCTGGAACAGTTGGGCCATAATAAATGGTCAGCGGACCCCTTCCAATAATTCGGAGTAACAGTTCCTGACCAAAATAGCTGGCAGATAGCTGTTGGTTAGTACATCATGCCACCTCCCACACCTATCATCTATCATTGTTAGAAAAGAACGTGGGCCAAGGTGGCCACTTTAATCTAGTGCTTCCTTTCTGCCTTTCGGATGAGCACCTACAATGGGTTCCGAACGCCCGCCGATACCATGACGCCCGGTATGGGTGACAAGGGGAAATCAAGCTCCCCGGGACAAGACGGGGAAGAAGGCTGGTGAAAACATTGGTGTCCTGTTTTCTCTGGGTGTAGCCTCACCTTGGGTGCAAGTTTTTTCGCACCTCTGTGTTTGGTGGGGAAAAATACCTGAGCATGGTCCTCTGGTTAGCTTCTTCTTCCAGTGATTGCATAAGTTATTTCAGCGATCAGCTTTTAGTGTTCCGCCGGTCACTACCATTTGGCTTGGAAGTATGGGTTTAATTCTGCCGGGGTAAATCACATGGGCCTCTTCGTCGTGCCAAACCTTCTGGTGATCATCGAGGTGGCAGATGTGGGTGACCTACTGATAGGGACCTACTTATCAGACTAAAATTAGAAGTAATAATAATAATATTAGTAATAAGGGTCTCTAGTATAAATAGATGTAGAGGGAAGGTAGTAAGGAGGCTTTGGGACTCTTTGTCTTGGGACTTGGGAAGGCTGAGACTAATAATCTCTTTCTTTGGGAGCTTCGGCTTTTGGGGGCTTCGGCCATAGTTTCTTGTTAGGTTCTTGATTCAATAAAGCTTTGAATTGTTCTTGATAAATTTCTGTGATTTCCATTGAACTTCTGGAGGATTCTATCATTGGTATAAGAGAACGTTCATCACTGTGCGCAAATGGATTTTAGATTGAACGAGCTGGAGAGAAAACAGAAGGAAACGACGGAGACTTTGGAGGAAATTCAGGCCACAATCACCAACTTGGATAAGAGAGTCCAAAATTTATGGAAGAGCAGTTCGCACTCTTGGCACAGGTCGCACAGTACCTCGCACCATAATCTTCGTTCGTCGCAATCGCTCATAGGTTCGCAGTCGGAGTCACGAACTACTTCGCAGTCGGAGTCGTGAACTACTTCGCAGTCGGAGTTGCGGACTACTTCACAGTCGGAGTCGCGAACTACTTCGCAGTCGGAGTCGCGAACTACGTCGCAATCTCATCGTTCGCAAACGCGAAGATCTTCTCACCGTCTCTAGTCGCGAACAGAGTCTTCCTCATCGTCTCACACTTCGCAAAGTTCTTCGCAGGCAGATTCGCGAAATGTTTCTTCGCAGAGTTATTTCCCTCACTCTTTGCAATGTTCTTCGCATCATGGAGGAAATCAAATGAACCTGTAATCAAGCAAGTGAATGAGAAAGACGAAATCAAGGAGGAAAGACAGGAGGAGGTTGGGCTTGTTTCGGGAGAATCTGCTATCATTTTTGGAAATCCCAAACAGATTCATGATGCTGACAAGTCTAGTTTCGTTCAGGAGATGAAATGGCTGAATCTTTTAAAATCTGAAATGATATACTGTCATCCATTAAACATTTCTTTGGAAGGGCTGAAATCATTGAACAGGTTTGATAGTTTCAGATATGAGGGTATTACTTCTATGATGGGTAATAAAAAGGGGTTGGAAGGAGAGATTTCTGGGAATGTTACAGAATTTGAGGGATATGTGACTGGTGTGGAAATTGTTAGTGAAGTGGTTAGGGGACTGCCAGTAGAGTGTATACCTGTTCAAGATAGAAGTGTAGGTTTTGATTACAAGTTTCTTATGGCAAGTATTGATCCAAGACACAAAATACTCATGAAAAGAGGTATGAACTGGAAAGAGGACAATGTGTTGAGCACCATTGTTTTTTTGAAAGGGATGGGGAAGTATGTTGTTGATATTTTTGAATATCAGTT